GCACCTAGACTGAGACCAAACAACAATCACTTAGTCAAGGTGGGCATTTATTTCATTTCTTCTTGTGAAACAATCTACTGGTGGGGGGTTTGGGGCAAGAAGGGTAATTTTGCTGCAAGAAAAGAATCCAGGTTTCTATCTTGTTGTCATAAGGTCTTGTCATGCATATATTGCCTAAAATTATTCAGCATGAGTTCTGCATTCCAGTTAGTGCAAGAGGGGAAAACATCAGTGGAAGTCATGCCCTTCCCTTTTAAGATTGACCAAGAAATGCATCCCTCACTTCTCTCAAAGTTCCATGGTCAGAAATAAAAAATGTAACTGTCCTTATTTGCAAGGCAGGTAAGGAAATGTAGCTTTTATTCTGGCTAGCTAAAATTCAGAGTTTTCATTATTAAATGAAGAAGGGAGAATTGTAGATAACAAATGGCAGCTTCATCACATAGCCTTAATTTTGTGTTTCTAGAAATTAGTAACCAAAATATTTCCACTTCCTATCAATGATGTTACTCTGAGTACTTTCTAAGCAACTCATGCTTGTGGTGACTGTACATCTAATTTGGAGCTCTCAGCTGTGTTTAGGGAAAAAGGGAAAAGAATTTGGCTATTGTCCATCTTTCAGCCATAGCCAGATTTCTAAGAGGCATGAAATCTGGGCATGGTGATAGCACTAAGGAAATTCAAGGGGCCATTGGAGCATACCCAGACATTCTGCTGTTGCCATCTGCTCAAATCTTGATGAGATTAGGGAAATGTTTTAATAAGAAACCAATTGTTTTCTAGATTCCCCTAAGGGGCTTTTCCTTCTCTTTCCCCTCTTCCTCCCATTCCTCTCTCTTTTCTTTTTCCTCTTCTTTTGGTTTTCACTAGAGATATTGTGTTATTGTGCCCCAAAGATCTTTTTTTTTAAGATTTATTTATTTATGCATACAAGAACTGGGGTACAGGCCAGAGGTGTTGGGGTGAGAGGACTTACCAGAGAAAGAGTGGGGAGCAGAACAGATGGACTGACTGAAATACACTGCTGAGGGGAGCAGTGGGCGAGCCAGGAAAGGTCTCCTGCACCATATGGATATCTCCCTGGCCAGCAGGGGATCAAACTTGTGCTGCAAAGGCTGCAGATGGCTTCACAGTGCTGTGCTTAACCCCTTGCACCACCAGGGAGTCCCCCTGAGGATCTTAAACAAAGGCTCAACAGCACTGATTAAGTTGACTTACACATAGTTGATTTAGTACAGATATGAACAGGGCCAGTATCAAATTTAAATGAAAGACTTTCTATCTAAAGCTGTAGAGATGGTGGTGGCAGGGGAAGTTTAGTACATATGACGGTTAGATGTTCAGCTAATGAGAACAAGGTCTATTTCTTTAGAAAGATAAGCTGCTCTCAAAGATTTAAGGGTCAAATTTTCTTCTTAAAATTAAAGCAGGGTCAGGAGGTCAGATGTTTTAATAGTGAAAGACTATTTAAATGAATTTGCATTTAAATATGTCTTATGTAACTCTCTTAACCTATGATCATGTTTGGGAAGGAAAAGTGCTTTTCCATAAGAAACTTTGGAAAGTTGCCATATTAACAATAACTATAACTTCTGAAACATATATATACATATCATTACCCAAAATACAAAAGTGTATGTTCAACAGAATTAGATTTTATTCTCTAGAAATTTAATTATCAAAGTTGATATTATTGACAGCAAACATAGGAAGGATAACTGACACTTAATAGGAAAAAACATAAAATAAAGTTTGCATAAGTCTGAGTCTCTGTGGTCTGGAAATAAGCCATTATTTTCTGACTCCCAATCTGAAGTTAAGGATTCTAGAGTATTCTTTCACAAAGAATTAGCTAGCATTTTAAAGATTGTAATGTTTTAAAAGTTCTTAAAAGTTTAGCTATATTTACCTCTAGGCTTTCAGTGTGTTTTACACGAGAAAGCGGTAGCAAGCAGAACATCTCCCTTTTTCCTAATGAATTCCTGAAAAGAACCCATTAAAAAGTGGAAAAAGACATAGTTTTTGGGAGCTGACCTTGATTTTAAAAAATACAAGTCTATTATTTATGAAAAATATGAACAATTTGTGAACATATTTCTAATATGAGAATAGATAAAAGGCAAGTATCTTTATAAAAGACACAATCATAATCACACTGATTAAATTTATAAATCAAGGTGATTAAGTAAGCTATATAATTCTAATCAAATTTTGTTGAAATGAAAGAGAAGACAGTGTTCTAAATGAAAAGAAATTGAAACACACTTACTCACTTAGTAACAACCATGCAGACTTTCAATTAATTGAAGTTTGGGGTTTTAGTTCTTAAGCTTAAATGATTCTTAACTGTAGAAATGGAAAGCATGGTTCTTACTTGAAACTAAAAAAGTAATGGAATTAAAAATATTGGCTGAAATCTTACAAATAAGTTGGCTCTGCTACAAGATGTCTAAAATACATTTTAGAATAAAGCAGATTTGTTTCAATTCAACTGTGGTCAGAAACTGTTTTGTGAAGTCCAAGCCTGTTTTGAAAAGAATGGTCAAAGCATGCTTATTTGTTCTCCTTTCCTTGTATCTCTCCCTTCTCCCCTCCTTTTCCCACAAACTTCCTTTCCTGTTTTTTCTTTTACAAACTCTTGCTGGGTGTTTTTGCAAGGCCAGCAGAGCCTGATCAGTAGAAATCACTTGAACCAGGGTCTAACAGGTCATTGAGTTCTGTGCTAGGGCACAAATGAAACCCCCGGAGAAGCAACAGGGTGTAACCTCATGACATCTAACCCTCCAAATCTCCAGGGAGCATACACTAAGTCTCCCTCCAACCCTAAATAAACACGTGACCCATGAAGGGGCATGAAGGGCCACTACACTTACACACTGGGTACTTCTCTCCTCCCTTCTGCTTGACTAATCCAGACACTTCTGTGCCTCCCACTCACCCTTTAATATCTCTAGCTCTGGGAGGGGCAGGGAGACAGATTTGAGCCAGCACCTGTCTCCATACCTGACTGTCACATAATAAAGCTTTTTCCTGGGCCTCCCTGATGGTGCAAGGAGTTAAGCACCGCACTATGAAGCAATCCGCAGCCTCTGCAGCACGAGTTCAATCCCCAGCTGGCCAGGGAGAAACCCATATGGTGAGGCATACCTCTCCTGTCTTGCCCGCTGCTCCCCTCAGCAGTGTATTTCAGTCAGTCTGCCTGTTCTGTTCCCCACTCTGTCTCTGGTGGATCCTCTCACCCCCTGCATCTCCAGCCTGTACCCCAGCCCTTGTATGCATAAATAAATAAATCTTAAAAAAAAAAAAAAAGCTTTTGCCTGCCCTGAAACCATTGTCACAGAGTTTGAGCATTGAGCAACCCACCTCGGTTAGGTCCACTTACACTGTCAAAAAGGAATGTGCTTGCATGAATATCAAAAGTGGTAAGTACACCCTAGAAAACTTTAGATTTATTAACTAATGATTTGAAAATAGCTTTCTTTTATAAAAATTCTAAATAATATTAATTTCTGTTTCTGTGAAATTGTAGTAAATAATTGATCAATACACCACTGATTATTTACTCCTCTCTATGTTGGAGATTGTACCATATGTGCCGGAACTGTACTGTAAACAGGACACAATGCCTTCAAAAGAACAAATGTGTAAGTAAAGGATAACAGTGCAAACTAGGGAGACTATAAGCTAGGGTGGAAGTAGTGTGAAAAGAAAGGGAAGACATTCCCCCTGAACACACACACACATACCACCCCAACTCAGAGAGGTGGAATGGAGGGACACAAAAGCAAAGTAAAGGAAGTTTTCACAGGAACAGTGAAGAGTATTTGGGAGAACAAAATATTGAGGAGAAATTATTTACCAATAAAAAAATGGGGAGAAAAGGGCAACTTGCCAGAGGATTCAATAAATGAAAGTGCTTTAGACCTTAGGTCTCATGGCAAATATGAAGAATAACAAATGATTGGTTGGCTGGGGCTGAGTGGTCAGGTCCCTGTTCTTTCATATCTACATTTATTAAGAGATCCTCTTGTTTATGCCTGAAAAATATCTCTGCAATATGGGTAACATCTCTAATTCTATATCTACTATGCCAGCTCAATCCAAGTTATCATCATTTCTAACCTGGACTATTCTATTCAATAGCTTCCATAGCACAAAGCACTTCTGCTGCCACTTTTATTCCCACTACGAATAATCTTTTTCAAAACTTCACATGAGATGACTGCTCACTATGACTCTGTTAAATGTGACTTCCATCTGTCCACTCTTCACATTCTTCTTAGCATTTACCTTAACCTATTAATTCATTTATCTGTTAACTTTTTATTTTCAGTTTTCTTCACTAACTTTCTAAGGAAAAACTGTGTTTGTTTATATGCCCGGTATTGAGCACAGAATAGAAATAAAAAATATGGGAAAGAAGAAAAAATGGAAAAGAGATAAAAAGAAAAAGATATGATGACTAAATGTAATGTGGTATCTGAAATAAGAGCCTCAGACAGAGAACAGGTAAAAACTAAGAAAGTCTGACTAAAGAATGGATTTCAGTTAATAGTAATGTACTGGTTGCTAATAACCAATCTACCATTCTGATGTAAATGTTACTGGTAAGAGCAAAGCATATAGGCTGAGTATATGAGAACCCTCTATACTCTCTGAAATTTTTCTTTAAATCTTAAGATATACTAAAGTTAATAGTTTATTCTGAAAAAGAAGGGAATAGGGAAAAAATGCAATGTAGGCAACATGCAGTTGGGGAGAGAAGGGGGGACCCTTAAGAATTTCCTTGTATGTGTGCTATTAAGTTTGAATGTTTTCTGAAATAGGGAACTGAAGTGTAATCAGTGTAATTCCTGTTTTTTTAAGGGTAGAATTAATATTTTGTTGCTTATAATAAATGGCAGCTAGGTATAGTCATCATACTTGATCTTTTGTTTTAGTAAAAAAATAAATTACAATTTTAAACAGCTGATGAGTGGTTATGTTTCCAGCAAATATAATTAGATCATTTCCTTAGTGGTAGCTTCAAGTTTTTCATGATTAGCACCAGAAAATTCACCTACCTTTTGTCCATTTGAAAGGGACAAAAACCTGTCCTGGAAGGTTGGCATGCATTTGATGTCACACCTTGAAGCAACGTCCTGATGGTTTTCCACGTCTAGTTGAAGGAACAACACCTTGGAATGCTTGTCAGAGAGGAAATGAAAAAAAAGCCTTTATCATTTTGCAAGCCCATGCCACATGACTAAGAAATCTACTACTACAAGTTTCTCTCCTGCACAGTTTGAGGTTTCATGAAAAGCACATTTGCTCTCCACATTTCCCTTCATTATTTGGCTTCTGGAATCTGACAAGTGACCATAAGAACCAATGGAAGTAGATCCAAAAGTGCCAGAATGAGCTTTAGATTTGTATCTTAGAAAAGATGACTCTAAAGCAAGGGTTGGCAAACTTTGTCTTGAAGACTCAGAGAGTCAATATTTTAGAATTAGATACTGTATTAATTTCCTGAATATTGTAAAAAAAAATTATCACACCTCAATATGGTAAAATATGGTTAAAATGGCAGAAATTTATCCTCTCATAATTCTGGAGAGCTGCAGTTCAAAATCAAGATGCTGGTGGGGGTGTGCTCACTCCAGGGGCTCTAAGAAAGGATTCTGCTCCATGCCTCTTCCAGCTTCTGGTGGCTCCCGGCATTCCCTGCTTTCCTTGGCTTATGGCTCCATTGTTTTGTCTTTGCCTTTAGTCTCATGTCACCTTCTCCATGTGTGTCTTCTCTGTGTGTCTCTGTTAAGGGCATTTATTATTGAATTTAGGGCTTAGCTGGGTAATTCAGGATGAGCTCATCTCAAGAGCCTCAATTTCATGACATCTCAAAGTTCCTTTTCCAAATAAGGTAACATGCACATGTTCCAAGGATTTGGAGGTGACATATCTTTTTGGGGTCCAGCCTTCAACCTACTTATACAGGCCATTATGGTCTCTGTTGAAACTACTCAGTACTGAAGTTGTAGCACCACAGAAGCCATCGACAGCATGTAAATGAATGAGAGTGAGCTGACTTTGACCCATGAGACATAATTTACTGATCCCGGACAACAATGTGGAGGAGAAGTTGGAAGGCAGCCTATGAAAGCAGTTAAACAAGCCAGGAGGGGATTAAATGATCAACATTAAGGATAAGAAAGATTTGAGTAAGATAAAACCAGCAGAGGTGGAGGGAGAGAAGGAACTGAGAGCTGGTCAATAGGTTTGGTGACAGACTGCAGGGAAGAAATCATTTATTTCATTACAGAGGCAGATATCATAATTTCACCTAATAGGTTAATATTTCTATGTATTAAAAAGAACAATTTGAGGGCCTCCCTGGTGGCTCAAGGGGTTAAGCACAGCACTGTAAAGTTATCCGCAGCCTCTGTAGCAGAATTTGATCCCTGGCTAGCCAGAGAGCAACCCACATGGTGCAGCAGATCTCTCCTGTCTCTCCCGCTGCTCCCCTTAGCAGTGTATTTCAGTAGATCTGCCTGTTCTGCTCACCGCTCCGTCTCTGGTGAATTCTCTCATTCCCCCACACCTCTAGCCGGAACCCCAGTTCTTCTATGCATAAATAAATAAATCTTTTAAAAAAAATCAAAAGAACAATTTGAGACCTTTTTACTAGTATTACTTGAAAACTATTCTGCCAACTAAGGGAAGTTTGTGTAACCCATGTAGACAAGTAATAAAAAATGCAAAGATTTAAAAGTGTCAGATTTTACTTTCCATCAGAACTACAGTGTATGGGGCATTTTGATGTCAGCGAAAACAATTTTTAGAAGGAATAAAATAGTACTAAGGAGCATTTCTTTTCCCATTAAATACCAACACTTGTAAATAGTCCCATCTATTTCATAAAGAATGAGGTGATTGAGGTTATCAATTTTAATTAATGATTATACATCCATTTACAGTTTACAAAGTTCTGGCCTGATGTAACATGCCATTTAATCCTCGCATTACTGACGGGAGGGCAGATATTATTATATCTAGAGAAAAGAAAAATTAAGCAGTGTCTTCAAGATCACAAAAACAGCAAATTCTGATTTTCTGGTTCCAAATTTTCTAAATCCTGGGCTATTTCTTTTTCACTGTCTCTGAAGTTGGACTGGAGAGCTGTGACAGTGTGTGGCCACTATAGTCAGGGTGGTCAGCATGACCAGAAAGATAAAGATGAGATTAATGAGGTTTTTGACTAGGCAGCTAGGGTGGCCTTCCAGCTGGCCTTGGAGGGCAGATGACCAGAGAGAAAAATGCAGCCTTGAGAGCAAAAACCACACACAACATGATCAGGGATGAGGAGAGAAGCTGGCCATGGAGCAATGTTACACATTTATGGAGTGCAAAGAGATAAAGCAGCAATGTCAGAAATATGATCCAAGGGAATGGGAGCCAAATTCACCAGTGTAACAGTTATTACAAAGTTTGTTTGCAATGCAGCTTCCAGAGTTCCAATTTAAGAGTTTTCTGATTCAGCTAGTCAGGGGTGGGGGCCATGAACAACCCTCTCCCCTGGGAAATCTTGTAATGAATCCACCAGATAATCTGTAGGATAAAAGCAGCAGAAAACATCTGTAGAGATTTTTGATGTTAGGGTAGCAAAGCATAACTTCTATTTTTAAAAGACAGCAGAGGGAATGTAGGCCTCTTTTAGAAAATACTTTAATAGTGTTTTGAAGTTAGCCTTGTACATTTTACTAGATCAGGCACTAGAGATGGAGAAGTGAATAAGAAATTAAGATAGAACTTGGTCCTTGTCCTTATGAATCTTATTTTCTAAATGGAAAACTGACATCAAATAATTATATAGTACTGTATAATGCCTATTAATTTTACATAATAGTATCAAAGTGTGTGCTAATAAAAAGGACAGGGTGTCACAAGAGAGGACAAAAAACAAGAGAGCTTTGCCCAGACTGGGAGATCAGACAGTATTTCCCTGGGAAATGGTGTGTGATTTCATATCTGTAAGATAACTTGCGCTGACCAAGAAAAGGGGAAGAAAAGAACAAAAAGGTATCTCAGTAGAACATTAATTAATATATTCAAAAAAGATTTGTTGACAACCTAAAATTTGCCAGGTATTCTTCTAATTTCTGGGATGCAGCAACAACCAGAATGGGTAAGGTTCCTGTTCTCATGAAACTTACATTCCAGTTTATAAGACTAAGAAAAAATTTTTTTAAATTACTAAGAAATTGCCTGATAATAACAATTTGGTAACAATTCAATTCTCACCATGTCAATTTATTGATTCAATTCAATACCAATCAAACTCCCAGAAAGTCTTTTTGGTAAAACCTGTCAAACTAACTTTTATTGCCAAATACCAAGAGTTAATCTAAAATGATAATTAAGTCTTCCCAGGTTGCTGGCAAAGATGGCGGAGGGGCAGGTCTTGGAGCTCGATAACCAAGGCTATCTTGTAGACTACTTGGCGGTCATTGTAGTCAAGCAAGTGCTTTGGGGCAAGAAGGTGGTGGTCTAGCACTGTGAGGGCATCAACATTTCTGGCAATTTCTACAGAAACAAGTTGTAGTGCCTGGTTTTCCTCTGTAGGCTGAGGAATATCAACAAATCCTATGGTCCCTGTCACTTCTGGGCTCCCCCATTTTGGGCCCCCACCACTTCCCTTGGTTTACCATGGGATGCATGTTGCCCCGCAACAAGAAGCAAGGCTAGGCCACCCTGTACCACCATGAAGTGTTTAATGGGAACCAGAGCTATGTAACAAGGAAAAGCGGGTGGTGTGTCCTGCTGCCCTCAAGGTTGTGCATCTGAGGCCTAAAGGAAAGCTTGCTTATCTGTAATGCTTGGCTCATGATATTGGCTAAAAGTAGGAGGCAATAATAGCCACCCTGGAAAAGAGGAAGTTGGAACCTAAATCCATTACCAAAGGGAAAAAGCACTTGAAGCTGTGGAACCAGGCCAAAAAGAATGTGGAGAAGAAAATTAACAAGTTTACAGAGATTGTGAAGACTCATGAACCTCTGGTCTGAGCCCATAAAATTGACTGTTAATTCCTCATGGCTTGACCTATTCTGCCCTTCCTCCATAGTTTCCTTGGGATGTGGGGGATCTCCAGGACAGGCAGCCTGGGCCGTAGAAGGCTGGGAACACAGAAATGACTTTAGTCATTGTTGTTTAAGAAAGGCCTTTGAGAAGTTTAAACAGCTCTTGATATGGTGCAGTCATGCTTTGCCTATCACCTACTTGTTGATGAGAGTTTTAGGAAACCAACAGTTGAAACAACCAGTTCAGTTGCAGTGTTTGCAAAATGAGCTTGAAGGCACAACATAGCTGCGAAATGCATTGCTTACACTTTCCAAACGGTCAGAGGCTATAACTCTGCTACTGTTAAAATGAGGGAAGGCTTGTAGGCGTGGTTTATCAATTCCTGGACTAGCACGTAAAACGCAGGAACCACAGGCATTGCCCTCTCACCTTCTGAATATGAGTAAATTATACCAAAAAATGAAAGAAAAAAGATGACTGAGACTGCACAGTATAATTGCAGGATGGACAAATGAAGCAGTGCAACAGAACAGAGTTTAGAGGTAAACTCACACTTGGTATATTGCAGAGGTATAAATGTCATGCAGTGTGGGAAAAGGAAACTTTTTTTAATAAATAAAAACAATTGAATATCCATATAGGAAATTCATAGCAAAAAAATATAATAAAATAAGTCAGTTCTTGTGCCAACCAAAGGAATAACATTCCTGGATTTAACATAGAAAAATATAATTTGTGAACTGAAGTAGATCAAGATTTCTTAAACAAGGTACTAATCAAAAGGGGAAACATTAATAACATCAGTAAAATTCTGTTTATCCAGAGATGCCAATAAGAGACACTTGCCTTTTGGAAAGGCAAGTCAGAGAATGGGAGAAAATACATGCAATATATGTATCTGAGAGGAGACTCATTTGTGGAATATATGAAGAATGCCTACAAATCAGTATGAAAGGGGAGTAAAAAACTGGGATAGGCATTTCACATGTGTACAAACACACACACATTATCTAAGTGGCCAATAAATGTTTCAAAAGGTGCTCAATTTCCTTAGTAATGAGAGAAATACAAATCAAAAACATAGCAGGATGATAATAGTTCACATCTATCAGAATGGTTGACATTAAAATTTTTAACAATACCAAGAATTAACTAGGATAAGGAGCAATTAGCAGAGGTGTAAATTGGTACAACTTTATTTTTTTTTAAGATTTATGATTACAAGAACTGGGGTACAGGGCAGAGATGTGAGGATTCACCAGAGACAGAGTGGGGA